GGCACAAGCCATAAAGTAATGAACAAATAGCTTAGTATAATCTAGACTTTATACTCTAGTGACATACAGACCACAGACTATTATAATACAGCATACAGAGGCCACTCACCTGGAGGAAGAATTATCCAAAACAGCCTTGAATGATGATAGGAACTGCACATTTAAAAAAGAAAGTAGAAACAAGAAAAGGCTAGAGTATAAAGGATCTTCAACTTAAGATTAGGTTATATCCTAAAAGTATAGTTCTAAGTTCATTTTAGCTTAAGGATATACTTTCCTATAGACATTAACATGGCAGATAGGTCCCTGTCCTACAAACCCTATTTAATTCATAATCTGGAATGTTTCAAATGTTGTGTTGCAGCAAAGAAGAGTTTATCATACCCTCTCTCTCCTGTAAGAAGTACTGGTAGAAGAATATTGGGATTCTTAGTAGTGAAAGGAAGTAATAACTGTCTAATCCCTTCTTGTCTTTACTTTTACTGCTGACTAGGGAATAGAACTGGCGCTTGGAGAAGAAGGAAGGCCAAGAAATACCACTCTAGTCTTTGTCATCACCTCAGTCTATGACTGAGGCTGTAGCTAGCAGTGAATAGGGAGTCCAAGAATGGTGGTGCCTGTAGCTAGGATAAACAGAGGAATGGTAAAAGAGAAGGAAAAAAATCCCCCACAGTTGTAGGAAGGAAAAAGGAATTCCTTTCATATCCTGTATGGGTCATCAATAAATCTTCCTACGTAATGGGTTCTCAAAAGGCAAGAAATGCATACTACTTACACATCCCGAATGACTTGAGGGTTTTTAGAAGTGTCCCTTCTTTTGTTCTTTTTAAACCCAGTAGACTATTGGCTGTCACCAGTCAAAAAATGCCATACCCACAGACATATACATAACACTTTATTTCAAATTAACAAAATTATAAACACAGTTACAGGTAAATGACAATTCAGTACATTTAGTTGGATAATATATATAAAATGCATATATGTGTGGTTAATTTGATGTGAATGTTGACACAGTGCACTGAGAAATGAAAAACATCATGCTGATTGTCCACTGATAACTCTGAAATTGGGAGAAAAACACTGGAATTTTTTTTTTTTAAATCAGATTCTTCTCTTAGCTCTTCTAAAGGGATTTTTAGGAAATTCATAGCTCTCAGAGTTTATATTCACTAGATATAATTTGTATTCCATATATAGTCCTTTATTTTTCTGTAATATTCCCTTCTTGATAATTTATTCTTGATATTTATTGAAGCTACCAAAAATCTATTTATTATCTTGACCTTGTTATTTTGTTTTATATTTTTAATTTGTCTATTTTCCATGTAACTCTTGTTATCCAATTTTTGTCCTCCTTTGAATCCATATTGTAGAAGAATAATGGATCTTTGGGACAGAAGTTGTTTCTCTTAGTATTTTCCCTTATTTCAAGAAAGTGAAAAAGGACCGACCTATACATATTATGTCTCTGGACAAAGTAACCTTTTACCACATATATGTAAATTATGTGTATTACCAAAAAACCCCAAATATATACTAATTGACACATATACTTTCTTCCATAAAGCATATACAAAGGAAGCAATAAGTTGTTCTTGAGGAAAATGTAGTTTTCCCTACTCTTTATCTGTGGTGTACATTGGAGTCTGACCTGGATTTGAATCTCAACTCTCTACTACTTCTACTCTGGTAACCTTGAATAAATTTATGTTTCTTTGTGTCTGTTTCTTCATCTTTAAAACGGGACTAATAATTCCTAGCTCATAGTGTTATCTGGAGAATTAAATGAGATAGTCTAAGTTTGTAGTTTTTAAACACTGTTCTCTGGTACCCTAGAGCTCAATAGAGACATTTAATGGGTCACTTGTATCTTTATGTTTAGGGTTCTACAGAAGATTTGGTTTGAGAAAGAGGGTCCTGAGGTTCTCTGTTTAAAAACATTTGAGGGCTTCCCTGGTGGCACAGTGGTTGAGAGTCTGCCTGCCGATGCAGGGGACACGGGTTCGTGCCCTGGTCCGGGAAGATCCCACATGCCGCGGAGCGACTAGGCCTGTGAGCCATGGCCGCTGAGCCTGTGCGTCCAGAGCCTGTGCTCCACGACGGGAGAGGCCACAACAGTGAGAGGCCCGCATACCGCAAAAAAAAAAAAAAAAAAAAAAGTTTGAAAGCCACAGCTGTAAGTAAAGTGCCTTGCGCATAATAGATACTGAACAGATACTAGTTCTTTCATGTAGGTTAGAAAATCTCCACTCCTTTCTCTCCCACATGAGGCTCCCTTCCAATCAGTATATTGAAATGCTATGTTGTTTTTCTTTAACTCCTTTATTGAGATATAATTCACATACCATACAATTCACCTATTTAAAGTGTACAATTTAGTGGTTTTTAGTATATTCACAGAGTTATGCAGCCATAATCACAATGCAATTTTAGAACATTATCATCACCTTCAAAAGAAACTCTACCCATTAGCAGTCGAATTAACTTGTTTTTGAATTGTTTCCATTGTTAATTAGAAGTTAAACTAGGGGTAAGTTAACACATCAAGAAGAGCAAAATGAATCTAATGTCTGTACCTCCGTAAGTCAGTGAACCATGTTTCTTCATTGATTTATGTAGGTACAGACATTAGATTCCATTATGGCATTTAGCCTACTTAATTTTATATATTAAGTCACTAAAGACTTGATTCTTTACAGTTTTCACTTCTAGAAGTTCATTTATCTACTTTTATAACTTTTAAAGATGAGTACTTGATCTGTATATCCTGATCTTAGCTTAGACATTCAACACATATTTTATCAAGTACTTGTTATGAGCCAGGTGCTATGTTAGACTCCTAGGGTTAAACAATTAATGAGACACACTTTAAGGAGTTCACAGTTTTAGAAGAGTAACAGGTAAACCAAAGACAGTAATGTGGTGTGATTATTATTATGGAGAAGTGTACAGAGTGCTGTCAGTACACACTTAAGGGATTAATAAATTCTCCCAGTGAAGAAGATTGGGGGAGGGGCAGGAAAGGGAAAGAACAGAGACTGAAGAGTTACAGAGACGCTGCAAAGAGGCTGGACCTTGAAAAATGAGTAGAATTCACTGGGCAGGTAATGGAGGAGAAATACATTCTAAAAAAGCTAAGAGTATATAACCCAAGCCTAATCCTTGAGGATTAAAAGCATACATTACGTTTAATGAAAGTCAGTGAGTTAATTGATGTGACTAGAGGGAACTGAACCTAGTGAATAGTGATAAAACAGAAAAGTTGGCTGGAGCAGATTGTGAGGGCCCAAAAGTCAGCCTAACACCTTATTTTATCACCTTCCCCCTTCCATTCCTAGCTTTACTCTACAGATAATTAGCCTTTCCCAATCTAATATTTATGTTAACATAGTTCCTACTACTATTATCCTAGTTCCCCAGGAGTTATCTTTGACTTTTTTCACTAGCTTCCTTCCCATATACATTCTCATGTTAATTATTAAGTATCTGTCTCTTCCTTTCCATTCACACAGTCACCACCATTTTCTCTTTCCTAGGATCTCCTTTCTATTTCTTTTGTTCATTTTTGATATTACATTTTCCCATTCCTAGGACTTTACCTCTCATCTACTTTGTTATTCAAAGTAGCTTTATACAGTAGTTAAAATGGTTCCTGTATCAGGGAATCTGAAGAGTATGAAGAGCCATTTATAAAAAGGAAAACTCTGACAGAGTTTATTAACTCTTATCTAGACTTCACTAATAAGGAAGTTCTCCATGTACTGGTTATATCGAGTGAAAACAAGGGACAGAAGAGTATAGTATATTACCTTTTGTGGCAGAAAGCAGAGGGATCTTAGGGTATAGATACTATTTGCATAGAGAAAGTGAAAAACTATAGGAGAAATAAAGACTATCCAAAGAAGCAGGTGGAAATTGGGTGGAAAAGGACAGGAGTGAAGACAGGTCTCAATGTATTTACCTTTTCATGTTGTTTGGATTTTCAAACGGAATATTTCATCTGTTTAAAGCTCTGGCCTTGTGTGCCACTGCAGGGGAGTGGGATTGAGGGACTCTGTTGATTGCCTGTTGCCTCATATATGAAATCACTCCTGAGTCTGCCACTCAGATCTGTCCACTCTGATTATGCCTTGGTATGATCCCTTTAACTGAAATGAACTCTGTCTATCCATGTCCCCAAACCACTTTCAAAACAATTCAGAACTCATCGCTTCCTTCTCCACAATTGGTTAATTATTTCATTCTATCATCTGAACTTAATATATTTATTTATATTCTATATTTACATTTTGGTTCTTTGTTGGTATCTCATAAGTATTCTCATTTATTTCATGAACGGTTTCTACTTAGATTGGTAATACCTTCAGTAGTAAAGCATGTTCTTTTCTCTCTTGTCTTATCTGAAGCATAATTTAATAGATACGCGGTAATTTTTATTTACCTCGGATTATCCTAACATGTTAATTTCATTTGGATAATTTTAATCAATGAATTTTAAATTAGAAAAGCTGCCATACAGAAAAACTAAGTTTGACTACTTTTCCATTATCTAAACTTCAAAGTATTAAGTAGGAAAATATTTTATTTAAAAACCATTGAAAATAATTAGGGTAACTTTCTGGTTAAGATGAAAATATCTGAATTTACTCACTAAAAAAGTAAACGTAACACGACCACTTGATATTAATTTGCATGGAATACAGTGTTATTTGTATGCTAGTTACTAATTAATACAATAATTGAGATTTGTGTGGTTTTTTGTCTTTGCTAATATATGACATGCAGAGTTAGTTCTGAATTTATAAGTAAAATATGATAAATATAATAGTCAATCTATCTTTTTTTTATATTAACAATGTCAAAAGTAAGAAACTTTAAATTCTACTAGGAAATGAACATTTATTTTTCAAATTGATCATAGAAACTTGTAAGCTGAGGGTCCTTTAGTATGTTTTTATTACTTGATGTATTCTAATCAGACACTTATTTTGAAACAGGCAAGAAAATTGGATGTATATTTTGAATATGAAGAAAAAATAATGAGCAAAACTACTCTGGATAAATCGCTTCTAGATATAATATCAGACCCTGATGGTATGTACCATGAATTTGAGGTTAATGTAAGTTTTACTTCTGATGAATCCAGCATTTTCAATTTGAGTAAAATCTGAATAGAATCATTGTTTTTCTCACAATCTTTGCTATTAATGAGATAATTAAATGAGCTATTTCCTGTTGAGAAATTTGTAGCATAGCAGTTACTAAGGTAGAAAAATCATTTACATTTTATTTTATTGAACTTTTCTTTGATGGTATGTAAGTGCTTTTTTGGGGAGAGGGAGGTATTTAAGCACTTTTTGTATTCATTTGTTTAAAGTGATACATTTGAAGCTCAATTTCTGCTGGCTCCAGGAAGACTTGAAGGTAAAATATTCAAAGCCAGCATCTCTAAGTGATGCAGTTTCTAATTACTTTGGTTTCACTCTAAAGAGTTTCTTAAAATGATGTATCTAAAACTGAATTTTGTTTTAAATATTTAGGGAATTCACTTTTTTTTAAACACCTTTATTGGAGTATAATTGCTTTACAATGGTGTGTTAGTTTCTGCTTTATAACAAAATGAATCAGCTATACATATACATATATCCCCATATCTCCTCCCCCTTGCGTCTCCCTCCCACCTTCCCTATCCCACCCCTCTAGGTGGTCACAAAGCACCGAGCTGATCTCCCTGTGCTATGCGGCTGCTTCCCAATAACTATCTACTTTACATTGGTTAGTATACATAAGTCCATGCCACTCTCTCACTTTCTCCCAGCTTACCCTTCCCCCACCCCGTGTCCTCAAGTCCATTCTCTACGTCTGCGTCTTTATTCCTGTCCTGCCTCTAGGTTCTTCAGAACGTTTTTTTTTTTTAGATTCCATATATATGTGTTAGCATACAGTATTTATTTTTCTCTTTCTGACTTACTTCACTCTGTATGACAGTCTCTAGGTCCCTCCACCTCACTACAGATAACTCAGTTTCATTTCTTTTTATGGCTAATATTCCATTGTGTATATGTGCCACATCTTCTTTATCCATTCATCTGTTGATGGACACTTAGGTTGCTTCCACGTCCTGGCTATTGTAAGTAGAGCTGCAATGAACATGGTGGTACATGACTTTTTTTTTTTTTTTTTTTATGTTGAGGTAGTTTCCCTTTATGCCCACTTTCTGGAGAGTTTTTATCATAAATGGGTGTTGAATTTTGTCAAAAGCTTTTTCTGCATCTATTGAGATGATCATATGGTTTTTCTTCGTCAATTTGTTAATATGGTGTATCACATTGATGATTTGCGTATATTGAAGAATCTTTGCATCCCTGGGATAAATCCCACTTGATCATGGTGTATGATCCTTTTAATGTGTTGTTGGATTCTGTTTGCTAGTATTTTGTTGAGGATTTTTGCATCTATATTCATCAGTGATATTTGTCTGTAATTTTCTTTTTTTGTAGTACCTTTGTCTGGTTTTGGTATCAGGGTGATGGTGGCCTTGTAGAATGAGTTTGGGAGTTCCTTCCTCTGCAATTTTTTGGAAGACTGTGAGAAGGATGGGTGTTAGCTCTTCTCTAAATATTTGATAGAATTCACCTGTGAAGCCATCTGGCTTTTGTTTCTTGGATGATTTCTTGCATCTTCTCGATCTTTGCCTCCATTCTTTTTCTGAGGTCCTGGATCATCTTCACTGTCATTATTCTGAATTCTTTTTCTGGAAGATTGCCTATCTCCATTTCATTTAGTTGTTTTTCTGGTGTTTTATCTTGTTCCTTCATCTGGTACATAGCCCTCTGCCTTTTCATCTTGCCTATCTTTCTGTGAATGTGGTTTTTGTTCCACAGGCTGCAGGATTGTAGTTCTTCTTACTTCTGCTGTCTGCCCTCTGGTGGATGAGGATATATAAGAGGCTTGTCCATGACTCTTTTTGAATTATGGTTTTCCCAGGGTATGTGTCCAGTAGTGGGATTGCTGGGTCGTATAGTAGTTCTGTTTTTAGTTTTTTAAGGAACCACCATACTGTTCTCCATAGTGGCTGTATCAATTTACATTCCCACCAACAGTGCAAGAGGGTTCCCTTTTTTCCACACCCTCTCCAGCATTTATTGTTTGTAGATTTTTTGAACATGGCCATTCTGACTGGTGTGAGGTGATACCTCATTGTAGTTTTGACTTTCATTTCTCTAATGATTAGTAGTGTTAAGCAGGCTTTCATGTGTTTGTTGGCAATCTGTATATCTTGTTTGGAGAAATGTCTATGTAGATCTTCTGCCCATTTTTGGATTGGGTTGTTTGTGTTTTTGATATTGACCTGCTTGTAAATTTTGGAGATTAATCCTTTGTCAGTTGCTTCAATTGCAAATATTTTCTCCCATTCTGAGGGTTGTCTTTTGGTCTTGTTTATGGTTTCCTGTGCTTTGCAAAAGGTTTTAAGGTTCATTAGGTCCCATTAGGTTTTTTTTTGTTTTGTTTTTATTTCCATTCCTCTAGGAGGTGGGTCTAAAAAGATCTTGCTGTGATTTATCTCATAGAGTGTTCTGCCTATGTTTTTTTCTCTAGGAGTTTTATAGTATCTGGTCTTACATTTAGGGTTTTAATCCGTTTTAAGTTTATTTTTGTGTATGGTGTTCGGGAGTGCTCTAACTTCATTTTTTTACATGTAGCTGTCCAGGTTTCCCAGCACCACTTATGAAGATGCTGTCTTTTCTCCATTGTATATTCTTGCCTCCTTTATCAAAAATAAGGTGACCAGGGCTTCCCTGATGGCACAGTGGTTGAGAGTCCGCCTGCCGATGTAGGGGACACGGGTTCGTGCCCCGGTCTGGGAAGATCCCACATGCCATGGAGCGGCTAGGCCCATGAGCCATGGCTGCTGAGCCTGTGCGTCTGGAGCCTGTGGTCCGCAACGGGAGAGGCCACAACAGTGAGAGGCCCGCGTACCGCAAAAAAAAAAAAAGAAACAAAGAAGGTGACCATAGGAGCGTGGGTTTATCTCTGTGCTTTCTATCCTGTTCTATTGATCTATATTTCTGTTTTTGTGCCAGTACCATATTGTCTTGATTACTGTACCTTTGTATTGTAGTCTGAAGTCTGGGAGCCTGATTCCTCCAGCTCTGTTTTTCTTTCTCAAGATTGCTTTGGCTATTCAGGGTCTTTTGCATTTCCAAACAAATTGTGCAACTTTTTGTTGTAGTTCTGTGAAAAATGCCATTGGTAGTTTAATAGGGATTGCATTGAATCTGTAGATTGCTGTGGGTAGTACACTCATTTTCACAATGTTGATTATTCCAATCCAAGAACATGGTATATCTTTCTCTCTGTTTGTATCATCTTTAATTTCTTTCATCAGTGTCTCATAGTTTTCTGCATACAGGTCTTTTGTCTCCTTAAGTAGGTTTATTCCTGGGTGTTTTATTCTTTTTGTTGCAATGGTAAATGAGAGTGTTTCCTTAATTTCTCTTTCAGATTTTTCATCACTAGTGTGTAGGAATGCAAGAGATTTCTGTGCATTAATTTTGTATCCTGCTACTTTACCAAATTCATTGGTGACCTCTAGTAGTTTTTTGGTAGCATCTTTAGGATTCTCTATGTATAGTATCATGTCATCTGTAAACAGTGACAGCTTTACTTCTTCTTTTCCAATTTGGCTTCCTTTTATTTCCTTTTCTTCTCTGATTGCCGTGGCTAAAACTTCCAAAACTATGTTGAATAATAGTGGTGAGAGTGGACAACCTTGTTTTGTTCCTGATCTTAGAGGAAATGGTTTCAATTTTTTATCATTGTGAGCGATGTTGGCTGTCCGTTTGTCATATATGGCCTTTATTATGTTGAGGTAATTTCCCTCTATGCCTACTACCTGGAGGGTTTTTATCATAAATGGGTGTTGAATTTTGTTGAAAGCTTTTTCTGCATCTATTGAGATGATCATATGGTTTTTATTCTTCAGTTTGTTATTATGGTATATCACATTGATTGATTTGTGTATATTGAAGAATCCTTGCATTCCTGGGATAAACCTCACTTGATCATGGTATATGATCCTGTTAATGTGGTGTTGGATTCTGTCTGCTAGTATTTTGTTGAGGATTTTTGCATCTATGTTCATCAGTGATATTGGCCTGTAGTTTTCTTTCTTTGTGACACCTTTGTCTGGTTTTGGTATCAGCGTTATGGTGACCTTGTAGAGTGAGTTTGGGAGTGTTCCTCCCTCTGCTATATTTTGGAAGAGTTTGAGAAGGATAGGTGTTAGCTCTTCTCTAAATGTTTGATAGAATTTGCCTGTGAATCCATCTGGTCCTGGGCTTTTGTTTTTTGGAAGATATTTAATCACAGTCTCAATTTCAGTGCTTGTGATTGGTCTGTTTACATTTTCTACTTCTTCCTGGTTCAGTCTTGGAAGGTTGTGCTTTTCTAAGAATTTGTCCATTTTTCCACATTGTTCATTTTATTGGCATAGAGTTGCTTGTAGTAATCTCTTGTGATCCTTTGTATTTCTGCAATGTCAGTTGTTACCTTTCCTTTTTCATTTCTAACTGTACTGATTTGAGTCCTCTCCCTTTTTTTCTTGATGAGTCTGGCTAATGGTTTGTCAACTTTATTTTCTCAAAGAACCAGCTTTTAGTTTTATTGATCTTTGCTATCGTTTCCTTCATTTCTTTTTCATTTATTTCTGATCTCATCTTTATGATTTCTTTCCTTCTGCTAACTTTGGGGGGTTTTTGTTCTTCTTTCTCTAATAGCTTTAGGTATAAGGTTAGGTTGTTTATTCGAGATGTTTCTTGTTTCTTGAGGTAGGATTGTATTGCTAAAAACTTCCCTCTTAGAACTGCTTTTGCTGCATCCCATAGATTTTGGATCATTGTGTTTTCATTGTCATTTGTTTCTAGGTATTTTTTGATTTCGTCTTTGATTTCTTCAGTGATCTCTTGGTTATTTACTAATGTATTGTTTAGCCTGGTGTGTTTATGTTTTTTACAGTTTTTTTCCTGTAATTGATATCTAGTCTCATAGCATTGTGGTCGGAAAAGATACTTGAGACAATTTCAGTTTTCTTA